TAAATTCCTAGCAGTGCTATTGCTGGGTCATAGGGTAGGTCTATTTTTAATTTTCTGAGGAACCTCCACAGTGCTTTCCAGAGCGGCTGCACCAATTTGCATTCCCACCAACAGAATAGCACTTTCCTTTGATGTGGGGACTACAGTTACCTCCATTTTATAGATGAAGACACAGGTTCAGAGAGGTGAATTGAGATGCACAAAGTCAGATAGCTCATAAATTTAGGAGCAGCAAAAATTTGAACCCTGATTTGTTTGACCTGAATCTAGTTAGTATAATAGTTGGCACATAGTTGATGTGCAATAAATATCTCCTGAAAAAAATGGGTGAATGAATATATTAGTAAATCTGTCCTCTTCTGCACATGAAAGTACAGATTAGCTTTAATGGTTTTCATGATCTAGATAAGTTCAAGTCCATATTAAGAGTAAAGAAGCAGAGGGGCGCCTGGGTGGCTCAGTTGGTTGAGCATCTGACTTCAGCTCAGGTCATGAACTCGCTGTCTGTGAGTTCAAGCCCCGCCTCGGATCTGTGCTGACAGCTAGGAGCCTGGAGCCTGTTTCAGATTCTGTGTCTCCCTCTCTCTCTACCCCTCCCCCACTCATGCTCTGTCTCTCTCTGTGTCAAAAATAAACATTAAAAAAAAATAAAGAGTAAAGAAGCAGGGCGCCTGGGTGGCTCAGTCGGTTGAGCGCCCAACTTCAGCTCAGGTCATGATCTCGAGGCCCATGAGTTCAAGCTCCCTGTAGGGTTTGTGGAATCTGGAGATTGCTTCATATTCTGTGTCTCCGTCTCTCTGCCCCTCCCTTGCTTGCACTCTGTCTCCCTCTCTCTCTCAAAAAATAAATAAATGTTAAAAAAAAAGTTAAATAAGTTTGAGCCACAAAAGAGAAGAATTTACATAGGCAAATCTCTTGACTCTAGAAATTCTGATTAGGAAGGGATCTGGATTTGCTTAGAAATTACACATCTGTGTGTGGATACACTATATACACACACACACACACACACACATACACATCAACAAGAGAGTTGGAACACCTTTGACACACACATACACATATGTGCATGCAGACCCACACAACCATATATGTTTTTAATCCCATGCTTTCTTTTATTTCCTTAACTGTCCTGCGAGGGTGTACATAATAGAATGTCAGAGCTAGGAGAGACCTTAGTAATTACCTAATCAGATCCCCTCATGTAAATGTAGAAATTGAAGCACTAGAAGGAAAGTAAATTGCAAAGGTCACACAAGGAGTTAGAGTAAGATTAAGAAACTGAGTTTCCTGACTCAAAGGTTTGTTTTACTGTGTACTGTCACCATTTACCATCTCAATTTTACAGATGGGGTAACCAAAGCATGCTAAGAATGTTGATGATCAAGCTCCTGCTACTTGTCCATTGAAGCAGGACTTGAAATCAGATCTTTTTTATTTTAAACTCCAGCTTGTTTTCATCCAAATGCTTCTGTCTGGATGCCCAAAAGGAAGACTTATTCCTGTTGCATTAAATACTGAACTGAGGATAATTTACAGAAAACTTTGATCTTCACTTTAAGAGAAAATGTCCAAATCTGCTTTATTTTCAGAAGGACTGTCCCAAGAAGGCTGCATGAAGGCAGGGATTCTGTCTTCCTTACTGAATCCACAATACCTAGCACAAAAGAAGGCACTCAAAAAATATTTGTGGATTATATGGCATACTAAAGGCAGAAAGGGAAAGTAAGTTGGGTAATGGTTTCCCAATAAATGATGGATGGATAATTATTATTAGTGCTGAAAAAGTAGAAATGAATGCAGGTAAGAGGTGGGAGAAACCCTGAAACAAAGGAGAAGCTCTGTCTTTCTGACTGAAGCGGCAATCACTCAGCAAGGGCTGAGTGGTTTGGTAGGACTGTGATCGGCAGAGATATTTAAATTAGGCCTCCTTAAAATTGCTACTTTCCACCCCACCCCCATTCCCCTTTAAATTTTGTTTCAGTCATTACCCAGGGACCGGATACAGAGATTCCTATGGGGAGTTCTAATGGGTCGATTCAATTTCAACTGGATGACGCCACTTAGCTAAGCATTAAGAGCTACAGCTCCGGGAAAGCAAACGACACAGAGAGAGGGAGAGAAAGAAATTATAACAAGGAGCAATAAATCCCTTCCCTCCCATCCTCCCCTATAATCCATTCACAAGACCTTCAGAAATCATCTACATTCACAAAACAGCCAGCTAGCTGAGCCGAACACACTGCAATCTCATCCCCCTCCCCCACCCCCGTCTCTGCAGATTATATACCAACACACCCTGAGCTATATAAATAATCACACACTAGCGGTATCTATTGCTCTGTTGAGATACCCTGCGTCTACAACTGCAGTTTCTGCTGCTTTGGTTCATCCGTCAGATTGGAGGAGACAGAGGCGGAGGCGGAGGCGGAGGCAGAAGAGAAAGAGGGGGAGGAGGTAAAGAAGGAAGAAGGGGAGGAGGGAAGGGGGAGGGAAGAGGAGTGGAAGGAAAACGCTGAAGGAGGAGGGGGAAAAGAAAGAGGAGGAGGAGAAGGGGAGGAGAAAGAGGCGGAGGAGGAGGGGGAGGAGAAATAGAAGAAGGAGGAGGAGAAAGAGGAGGAGGATATGAACAACTTACCCTGCTGAGCTTTCTTTGGGAATACGTGCATCAAGATTTAGATCTGCATGTAAAATCTATACAAAGTATCTGCCACTACAGGTCTGACTCTCCTCCCCACCCCCCCCCCCTCCCCCCTCTCCCCCTCCTTCTTTTTTTGGTTTTTTGTTTTTTTTTCCTTTCCGTTTTCTCTGCTGTGTCAGAAAGACCGACACAGAACTATCTCTGTTTCTGGCTCCACTGCCAGTGGAGTTTTCATTCAGACTTTCCGAAGAGAGGTGGAGAAACCTAAAGACTCAGGAGAAGAAGAGGTCTTTTGAGCCAAATGGGGCATTAGTTCTTCTGCTTTTCTCAGCATGGATAAACCTTTTCCTCAAGGTAAGCCATAGAGATTAGCTCTTAAAGACCCTAGAATTCTTTCTATGCAATGCACAGATTGCCATTCATTCCAGCCATCCTGTGTGTGTGTGTGTGTGTGTGTGTGTGTGTGTGTGAGTGTGCGTGTGTGTGCGCGCGCGCGCGTGTGCACGCGTACAAGAGCAAACGCGTGGGTAAAATAAAATGAAAACCATTTAAATGAGATTTAAATGAATCAGCTTTTGCACAAAACTATCCGTATTGGAAATTTATAAATCAAAATGGAACTTCAAAATAACCCTTTTGTATCCAAATGTCAATTTAATTTCTAGCCTGTTGACCTTTAAATGCATTTTGGTGCTTGCCTAAGCCCCTTATAGCGCAGCCTAACCACCCAAGCTGAGGACGTAGGGAGAGCCCGTGCTGAGGCCAGTCTGGCTGCCCAGCGGGCATCCTGTCAGCGTGGGGCTAGTCTGCTATTGGCTCACAAGTCTGGGCTGTGCATCGTTCAGATTTCATCACATCACCTTGCCCTGGGTAGAAATGGCGCAAGCTGACACGGCATAACCCCCTACTTACATTGAGTCAGAGCAATGATTTAGAAATCTCTGGATCCATTCCTGCGTGTGTGTGCACATGTCTCTGTGTGGCACACGGAAATTTTGTCAAAAGTGAGAACCTGTGAGCATGTCCAGTTAGCCAATAGGCATTTGATAGGACCTAGTACAAGTGGTTTATACTCCCTTCCATTCCTGTAGCTAATTATAATTATCATTCACCTCTGCATGCTGCAAACCAAGTTAGATGAACAGAAAACAGACCTTGAACTCTTAAACAGAAAATCTATTTTGAAATGCAAACTATTGTTGCTTTTCTGGGTACATTAAAACCTCATTGTAACATAATGTGCTATTACATGAATTTGGATATACCAGGTGTTAAATCATGTTCCCAACAAGTCGGCTGCATACATACATACCAATAAGGCACAGGCTAGCATTTTATCCACAAGGAAGTATTAGTCTTGCTCCCTGTACCTCTAAATAAACATTTACTAAGACTTTATTCTATGCATTTTGCTTTCTTTGTGTTCTGTTAAGTCTCTCTAGCTGTGAAACAATCTAGATGGTGGTCTGAGTGACTTGGATTTGGAGGGTTTTTATTCAGAGTTGAGGAGTTGGGTAGTGAGGAATTAAAAAACATAAAGGAAGGAGACTAATTCTTCATGAAAGACATTTTGAGACAGAGAAATGCAAACAACAAACTCGGCATAAAAAATGTAGAGTATCAAGATAAGCAGGGGCTTTAAAAGCCCTCCTTTTGTGCCCCTCATTTTGCAGATAGAAAAACTGAGGCTTGGGATGGAAGTCACTTGCCCACAGTCACAAAACAAAGTAGAGCTAGAGTTAGGACTACAACTTAAATTTCTTGTATCTTATACCAGGATTTGGGGTTTAAAGAAAGATTCCTACTTCTGAAGTGAACAGCTAGCATTTTCCCCAGGATTAGAATTAGGTGAATTCATTTGTTATTACAATTTTTCCCTTTACTGCTCATCACTAAAACACGTATATCTTTAAAAATGCAAGGTCTTAAAACTACAAGACTCTCCAGTTTGAAATAAACTGCCATGAGTCTTAATGAAACTATTAAAGTAATGAATAGGACCAGGGTAGCAAAATGACAAGTTAAGAGTTAAATGTGGTGAGAACCTGGCAGCTCCAGCAAGATGTATGTGGTAGGAGGGAGGCCCAGTCAGTGGCTGAGAGGTTAGTAATGTAAACTATATACAACTTGGTATTTGTAAGGGGGGAGTGCTTTGATAGAGATGCAAATGCCTTTGCACAGAGAGGGATTTTTGGAGAGCAGACTTTGGAACAGTAGAACTAAGAAAACATATAAAGCCATAGCAGAAATTCCCCCTATGTTTGCTTTCAGTTATTCTGAGAACGAGTGTATATAACAGCAGAGCACAGAAAAAAGTAACACACCCCAGAGCTGTTACACAGTAAGGTACAAAACAACATTGAACCCATGGGAGTGGGAGAAAACAGGAGCCAGGCTCTCCTCCCTTCCCCTCCTCTTCTTTGAAATTGACGTTGAGTCCTATTGTATCAGGAAGGATTTACCAGAGAAATCAGGGCTGTCTTAAGGTATTAGCCTAGTAGGGCTTTAGATAGGGAAGTTTTCAACTTTGGTCTCAACATGGCAGATTTTAGGTTCCAGGAAGTAAATATATTTTTCTTTCATTAACAAACAGCATTTCTTGAATAGATTTAGCTCTCTAGTCCCTAAGTTGGCATAAGAAAAGAAATTTCTGTTTAGGTTGAACATAGAAAATTTCAGGGCTACAGAAAAACTGTTGAGAAAGCTATGAGCACCTGGCCAGAGTGACTGAGATGGGAGTGGGTTTACAATGCATCATTCATTACTGCAGAGGCACTACGTGACAGAAATCACTAGATCCCACCAATGTGCAGCCAAGACTTGTAATCACCTTGGCTCCTATTTAATAATATTTGATATGCATATTCCCTCATTTAATAGAATATAGAACTGACCAACAGCACAGTTTCTTAACTGTTTTTGCTCACAATGAATGGCCCTTTAATGGGTAGATTTCTGAATCATAAACATGCAAGCAGTAGTAGTTTTTCATCTAATCTATCTGCTGTAGCAGTCTCTTGCTTATTTGTTTCTTAACTTTTTTCCCATTTTACCTCCCCCTACAGTATCTATTTCAGTTCACCCTGTTAGTCAGATTTGCAAACAATTTACTATTATTCAATCTTGTTTTATCCTTCTCAACACACTAATTTTACCCAGGTGCTCCTGTCCTGTGTATTGCAGATTTTCCACAGTCCATTCTAATAAAAGATTTTTCAGGGCAGGAAGAAACCATCCGAGTTCATCCTGTTAGGTCCCTTGTAAACAAGACACTAGTACCTCATCATCCCAGACCAATGCCCAGAGCTTCCTTTAATCATCCAACCAAGCATCTCAACTTCTCAGTCTTACAGAAATCTAATCAATATCTAGATACACCTTCTCAACTTAAGCACCATATATACCCTTCTGCCGCGAAGACAGGATCCCCTTTGAACATGGTTCTGAGTCATTTCAATTATGACCTAGATTCCTCCAAGCTTAGCTTTTGAACCTTCTGGGCATGTCCCTGAGATACTTACTGATACCCTTGGAATCCCGTATGATTATCTCTTGTAACTTTGAGGCCTTGTATATCTTCCTTCAAGTTGTTGATTTTTAAATTTCCAATATGATTTGAATCTAGTTTCCTTTGGGAAATCAATGAGTCTAAAATGCATCCACTGTATTTGTTACTGTTCTTATAGTATAACAGACACAAAGAGCCCCACGCATTCTTTATCTGATCAATGAGGAATAAATCTATTTCTTCTAAATTTGCCAAAAATAATTCTCTTGATTCAAAGCTTCTACATCCACATATCCTTCAAGTCAGCTGAACAATGTTTCTTTGTTTATTTAGGTGTTCCAATGAAAACTACTTTTTCCTTTCCAAAACTAAGATTATTAGTCTTAACAAAGTACAGCAAAGGTAGACGTTGGACACTTAAGGGGGGCTGTGAGTCCAAGTAAATAAAAGAGACATAAATTTTGCTTTTGAGTGCCCAAATGAACAAGGGCATGTTGTTTAGTTTACCCTCAAGGATTGAAGATGTGGAAGGTATAGATGAAGATTTTTTTTTTTTTTTTTTTGCCAAACTTTTTAGTTACAGAATAATAGACGAATGTATAGAAGAATATGTTTTTTTTTTTTTTTTGACCAACTGTGTAGTTACAGAATGATAGACCATAATAGGGTTCAGTCCTTCAAAATCACCTAGTTTACCCCTATAATTATATAGACAGTGAAATTGAGGCCCCAAAAAGCAAGTGATTTGACAAAAGTTTTATAGATATTTGAGCCTTAGAATGTCCACAGTGTTTATCTGCATTCTCTTGTGCTGCATTAAATAACACAAAAACAACGAACTAAAAAACGAAATTATAGTCAGACTGGTTCTTCTATGTGATGTGCCAGAAAGTTATTTTTAACCAAATTAAATCTTCTTTTCAAAAAATGAACAGATGTAAATTCAACTAAACAGGTTTGCATGGGGATATTGCCTCAAAAGACAATAAGTCTGGTCATATTCTTAGCCCCTGAGGCCTTTGGCATCCTTATTTCTCCTGTTATTGAGCTTTGGACACATTTCAGTGCCGTGTTTGCTTGCTTATGGAAATCTAATCAAGCACTATCCTCTTTCACTTGTTCATTTCTATTACTCATTCAAGCTTTGCATTCTATACAGTAGTGTGAGTAATTGATCTATTTTGAGGAGGCCTGAAATATGATGGATTTCAAATGTATGCTTTATTCATGCTAGTGTTTCCTAGGTCCTAATGCCTCCAGGATGACTCTGGGATTTGTGTTTAGGTTCTCTTGTGTACACCTTTTTGGTTGTTCAGTCTTCCAGGTGTTGCAATACAGCAATCTACTGTTTGTACAACATTTTCCTCATAGTCACCATTATCAGTACTAGGCTCAATCAGATCCTTCAGAAAATGACCAGCCACCAGTTCCTGATTGTGGTACAATGGAGACACAAGCACATATGCTTTCTAGATATTCAGCTTGGTTTAGATCTGATATAAGAACATTGTTGCTCTTTAAGAAAGCCAGTTTACTGTGTAAGGTAAACACAGGGAAAAGCAGTTGAAGTAGATTCTGCCTAGTAAATCCCATCAATGCAGATTTGACTTAGGGTAGTAATAGGTACAAATACAGGTGATAATTCAAATAATTCAGGGTTCATCTTTTATGGCTCCCTCATCCCAAGTGTTACTCCCACGTGTATAAAAGGTTTTTTTTCCTATTGTTCTACAGATAGCCTGATTTTTGCCTTCTGTGTCTCTGCCATATCAGTGCCATTATTACATCTTGCCTGCCTATATTCATTGAATCAAGAAATTCCTTTCTCATCTGTTTATTTATGCTTATCAGAAATTTCACTGAGGGGAGAATTTTGATTGATGATACGTATATGTTCACCTGTATTTATGTCTCATACATACACACTCACACAACTTCTCCTGGAAGACTTGTGAGGCTTTTTCTTTTACACTGGCATTGCTTCAGGATGAAGCCTTCGCATTTGAAATTAGGTTCCACTTTTATTATAATTGTGAGGCTAGAGGCCTAGATTTCTGTGTTAGCAAACATCTGAATGAGATAGCTGCTCCTGTGACCCTAGTCATATGATGCAATACAAAAGGAATCAATGATCTGAGCTTTGCTCCCAGAATGCTTTATAGCCTGGATAAGTTGACCAGATTTGCCTGTAAAGAAGTAGGCAAGGTAAGTTACAGAATAAAGGTGTAACATGAGGACTACCCTAAAGTAATTGAAGGTAGTGGTAGAGGAGACAGGGCTCAAGCTTTGTTTAGTTCCCTGCAAAGTATTCAGGCCGATGTGTTCTCATGTGTTGTTTGTGTTTCTTCTCTCCTAGGATTTTCTGATGTGCCCTAACGTCCATGTAACAACAAGGGCTCTTTATCACCACAAGTGCCACCCTGACCCAAAACCACTCAGAACTCAAGAATCAAGGCAAAATGGATGCTGCAGTGACAGATGATTTCCAACAAATTCTTCCTATTGAACAGCTGCGCTCTACTCATGCTAGCAATGATTATGTGGAACGGCCTCCAGTCCCCTGTAAACAGGCCCTCTCCAGCCCTTCCCTTATAGTGCAAACCCACAAATCTGATTGGTCCCTGGCTACCATGCCTACTGCTCTTCCCCGCAGTCTCAGCCAGTGCCATCAATTGCAGCCCTTGCCTCAGCATCTGAGCCAATCTAGCATTGCCAGCTCAATGTCCCATAGCACCACTGCCTCTGATCAAAGGCTCTTGGCCAGCATTACCCCCTCACCTTCAGGCCAGTCCATCATCCGAACCCAGCCTGGAGCAGGGGTCCACCCAAAGGTTGATGGTGCTCTGAAGGGAGAAGCTGAGCCATCTGCAGTGCACCCCAGTGAGCACCTCTTCATCTGCGAGGAGTGTGGGCGCTGCAAATGTGTCCTTTGCACGGCAGCTCGTCCTCTCCCCTCCTGCTGGCTGTGCAACCAGCGTTGCCTTTGCTCTGCTGAGAGCCTCCTCGATTATGGCACTTGTCTCTGCTGTGTTAAGGGCCTCTTCTACCACTGCTCCACTGATGATGAAGACAACTGCGCTGATGAGCCCTGCTCCTGTGGGCCGAGCTCTTGCTTTGTCCGCTGGGCAGCCATGAGCCTCATCTCCCTCTTCCTACCTTGCCTGTGCTGCTACCTGCCTACCCGTGGATGCCTCCATCTGTGCCAGCAGGGCTATGATAGCCTCAGGCGACCAGGCTGCCGCTGTAAGAGGCACACCAACACTGTGTGCAGAAAAATCTCTTCTGGTAGTGCACCATTCCCCAAGGCCCAGGAAAAGTCTGTATGACCTTCCCACAAAATGGATCCAGAGCTTTCTCTTTCTTAGCCCCCATCAGTAAAGTGCAGGCCTCATCTTTGAAGAGGGGGAGGAGGAGTAAAGTAGCCAAAGTTAGGGCCTCACCAGTTTTGCTCCTGCAGTGTCAGGGGAATGGCCAAGTACATCCTGGTGCAGGATGCCTTGTTCTTGCTCACAGTATCTATCCCACTCCTCTTCAACCTTTTTACACCTTGCCGTTTTAGCCCTGTGGCTGTCATGGCAAATTCAGGTGATATATAGGCATGACATTTGGACACCGAGGGCTGACAGAGCCCGCAACGTGGAGGTTTAGGGGCTCCCCAATATAGTGCCTCTCGATGCAGGCTCTGAGCGTCACTCTACTTTCCACAGTGCCTTTGGAAACTTTCTTCTAAGATGGTTTTCACAGGTCCATGTGGAACAGCATTCGATATTCCAGGGCATCTGATCCCTTCTCCCTTGTTTACTGCCCTTCTCTTCTTTAGTCCCTTTTTCTCCCTGTCTCCTCTTGTTCTGTGCTCCTTCCCCCTTCGTTCCCAGTCTCTCTCCTTCTACTTTTCCTCTCTTTTCTTTCTGTCTCCCTTCCTTCTACTCCTTTGCTCCCTCTCTTTCAGACTAATCCATTCTCTACCTGTATTTCTATCTTGTTTGATCTATCTTTGTCTCTCTCTACCTGACTTTTCTTTCTCTACTATGTCCGAAAGTGCTGTTTTTCCATAGGTGTTTCCTTTGACGCCAAACTTTGCTATGCTATACTATTTACTAAATTTTATTAAGGGAAATGGATTACTGTAATGAACTGATCACTAGCAATAGTCTATATCCTGACACGTGTGTGTGTGCCCATAACCACACTCACCTGTTTGTGAGCATATGAGGCAAAATTATCTTACATTTCCAGGTTTAACTAGTTGGAGTTTTACTCCCTTTCCCAATAATCAACTTATAGTACTGACAGATTCCACTAGCATGCGGAGTAGGATAGTAAATCAGGATGCTCATAACTTTGTATGTCTGACCCAAGTGCCAAAGGCAGACGTGCTTTATAGCTAAATGAACAAAGCAAAGGATATTACAGAGGTCTGTTCTCTCTTAGAAGCTAACTGCCCTGAGACTGCATGGCTCAGGCCTTAATTATGGACATAAAAAGTCATAAAACTTTAGAGCTGGAAGGAATCTTAACTGTTAATCTAGTTCAATGCCCTTATTTTACAGATGGGAAAACTGAGGCCTGGGGATAGGAAGGGATTTTCCCAAGGCCACACACTGAGTTCATAGCAGAGTTGGGGACTGGAATACAGGCCTTCTGACTCCTAGTTAAATATTCTCTACCCTACACCACATTGAGTCCTGGGACTTTTCTCATGGGACTCTATTAACAGTAACAGAAGGCCATTGCCATTCAATTTTCTGGAACCATGCCAACTTAGTGTACTGGTCTTTATGCAGTGCGTGGTGGGTAGCTAATTAACTATCAGGTATTGAGGCTGCCCCCAGTGGACATCATCTTTGGCTCTGTCACCTGTAGAAGCTCAAGTGTGGAAAAAACAAACAAAGAATCCCTAACCAAGCTGTACCTTCGCCTACTCTTTGCTGCACACATTGTGCTCACTCCTGGCTTTGTCTGCAATGGCAATTGCCTGAAAACCTAAATTTCAGCAACAGTGGAGAACTGAGATGAAAGACATATAATGCAGAGAACTGACTTCTCTTTTAAAAAATACCAAGAGCCTGTGTTGTGAATCCACTTCAATGGGAAAAGGCTGCAGTGGGGATGGCAGGCTCCTAAAGACAGCTGTTGTTAAAGACACAAGAATTAGATCCAGTTTCCCTCTGTAAGTGAATCCAAAATTCACTAAGGAATTCAGAGATTGAGGGCACTTGCTTGAAATCAAGGTGCTCCAACTTAGTTTAAGACTTCCAGACTCTGACTTTATATATCATCTCTTTTAAAGTGTGCATGGATGTGTATTGCAGAGTGGAGAGGTGGAGAGAAATGTATAGTCATACACAGGGGGAAGAAGAATATGTGCCACTCAGTTTTTGTTGGTTCTGAATCTTCCTGAAGTATACTGACGTTTGGGCTGTACACAGCCTCATACTTTCACTTTCACCTCCTCTTCTAGAATTGCTTTGCTCTATTTTTGTATATATAAATATGTTATGATTATTATTAATAATGTTAATGATATTGCTGCAAATGGTGCCATATATAAGGTTTGGCTTCTTGGAACATTATAAACCCAAACCAATACCTGTAACCTCTTATGTTGCTTTCAGATCTTTCAATTTTAAGTAACTTTTAAAAATCTTACAAGTCTGCCTGATTGAACTTTGACTTATCTACCTACCCCTAAAGCTGTGCCCAGTTCTCTGAGTCCAGCTGGATGGTGATGAGTAGCAACACACACTTCTCCCCGCTTCTGCCTGAAATTTGCTTAGAGCTGAGATATATAAGGATTCTATGACACTAGTGCATTGTTCCTGGAGCTAAAGTTATTCTATGGATGTTTGCTTACTAGTATCAGGGCCCAAACTAACACAAGTCCCTCCTCTTTGATAGCTCCTTGATATCCCAATCCTGCAGTCCTTACTCAGGCAAATTGTGCACTGCCAGAGGGGCCCTGGGCTCTGCCATACACCCAGAAGAGCTCTTCTCAGTGTGTTTCTAAATGGCCTTACACTTGGTAGAAGAAACTGAAGGGTTACTCAAATGCAATTGCAATCTGCAATCTGCTACTGAGTCAGGGCTTTCACTTGTGTCCAAGTTGGCCTGATACGGGCTGCATCTGGTTTACGTATAGATGGGTCCTGTTGGGGTATGCGTACAGATGTGTGAGTGTGCATTTGCGTCCCTTCTGTGAAGTTATATATATGTATATGTATATGTATAGTATATGTATATGTATATATATGTGTGTGTGCGTGTGTGTGTAAATATATATATTCACACATCTCTATATATTTTAATGTATTGCACATGTATATTTAAAATATATATGAAAGAACTCTAAATCCTGCAGAAAGCCTCTGTTTTCATTATTTTCTACCTTGTGGCATGTACTGTATAAACAGGAATATTAGAGGGTGTTTCCTGCTTAGCATTTTTTTTTTTTTTTTTTTGCAGTCATCCATTACCGCCTTATTCTACTGCTTTCCACATATTGGTTCCCTGATACATCTCATATGGCTTTAGTCAAGAGTTCTCCTCTAATTCCAGCCCATCTTCCCTCATCACAATAGCTATAATAAGTATAGTGAACACTTATATAGTGCTTACTGTATTGCTAAGCACTATTTTAAGCACGTTACCTATATTGGCTCATTTAATTCCCACATTAACTGTAAGATGTAGGTACAATTACAATTGCCATTTTACAGATGTGAAAACTAAAGCACAGAGAGGTTATTTGAACTGCTAAAGGTAACAATGCTTATAAATTATGGAGCTGATATTTGACCCTATGCTGTCTGAGTCCCAAGTCCCTGCTCCAGAGTTGGGTGTAGAAGTCTGAAGGATAATGCAAACTCTTCTGGTATAACAAGCCCCAAACAGTGAACAGTCCTTTCCCTAACTGCAGTTCATCTGCAGCCTAAAACTTGAAACAAATGTGCTCCTATGTTAGGAGTGAAGCAATAATTATAGACATCATATATGTCTCTTGCTTCCCAAGATGATGGCATTACAGATTTCTCCACCATTCCCTTTGAAAACATGTTTGCAGACAGTTGCCATTTCTCAGGCAGTTCACAGTGCAGAACTGGGAGGGAAATATTGTGACTTGTGCCAGAGAAGTTTACGAGTTGTTAAGACTTTGACCTTTGCTTTGTAGGCCCAGAGAAAACCAATTTGATTTCTTTCTGCAGAAAGTAGAACTAAAACTATTTTTGGAACTTGAGATTAGTTGGAATTGTTAACATTTAAGTTCATTGATTATACTGAGAGCATTTTTCTGATTCAAATGTAAGCAATCCACTGATGACCACCGTTCAGTGTAATACCTTACTTTTCCCATCACTGCCTTCATACTGACAATCCTTTACCCTGGTATTATTTCAGAGCCATAAAGACTCTTAAAGAACATCCACCCCAATGTCAACATTGTATAGTTGGAGGAAAAAATGCAGAGAGGGAATAAAACCTGTCCAAAGTTACACAATTCTGAATTTGGGTGGAATTATGATTTATTTATTTTCAGAAATCTAAGTTTCTTAGAAAATAGAACTTGAAGCAAAAACTTATGTGCAATTCCAGGGAAGTAGGAGTAAGGAAAAAGAGTAGTGAGGAAGGAAGGAAGGAGAGCAAACAAAAAGGAGTGTATCATTGTGTTGTCCATAATCAGTTTCATGACAAGCTAATTTCTCAATTTGTTATGACTGGCCATATTACATCTCCATACAGCCCATCTGGGGGACTAAAGGAGAAGAATTTATCTCCTGCCTCCTATCTTAATAGTCAAATACCTTCCCTGTAAGATATTAACTCCCCTACACTTCTGTGTAGTGCATGTGTGGATGCCCACGCAGGTACCTTGGCATCTCATACGTCAGGAGCAAGGGGTAGCAAGTGTGTGGCTATGTGTGTGCTATAGGGACACAAATGAACTTGAGAACCTATGTATTCTTGACTTGCTTTGAAGGGCTTCCTTCTACATGGAAATGAAGTCCCTGGTTCAACTAGTAGAGTAACAAAGTCTCAAAATATCCTTCTTCTTAGCATAAAAAGAAACTTTATCCTAGTGAACTCTTCAAAAAGTATGTCTAAACCAATGCATGTACATGCACTTATGTTCACTTAAGCTTCATCAGCATAATAGCAGGAAAATTGGTCAAGTTATTAAATTCAGGAAAAATGGCTAAACAAGTTATTTTGCAACATACAAATAAAACATTCTGTTGGTCAACTGAATTTTCTCTATTTCAGCCACTAATTATGATATATAGACACATTCTAAGAGCTATACTATCTCTTATTCTCATACTCAATAATTCCCCGTGCCCAATAGACTATGCTCAGATGAAGTCAAAGCATCTAGTTAATAAAAACATCCCATTGATATAGTTTTATATCTATGGACAGTGTCATTAAAGCATTGGAATGCATTCCACTCATTTAATTCTTGCTTTTTTTATGTAAGAAAAGATGAGCATAGGAGAATTCTGAAAGTTTTTCATGGTGAATAATGAAACCATGTCATCACTCCAAACAATACAGAAAACTCTCCTTCAGTGACATCTACTTTCCTGAGTCCAGTGGTTATTTCTCTGTTCTCATGTACCTGACTTACTAGCACCATTTGACATAGCTGTTCATTCTGTCCTCATAAAAACACTTTTACCACTTGGCTTCCAGGATACCATATTCTTCTGGTTTTCCTCCTACTTCACTGTCTGCTCCTCTCTATTCTTTACTATATATTTCCTCTTCGTATTCAAGTATCTCAGCAATTGGTCTTTGAAATATGCTCTTTGGGTACCATTTACATGATGACTTTCAAAATTGTATCTCCAGCCTGGACTGCTCCCTTGAACTTCTCACTCATATATCCAACTGCCTATTTCACATCTCTACTCTGATATCTAGTAGGAATTTCAAACATAACATGTTCAAACTTATTTTTTCTCTCCCCAAACCTGAACTTGGCAGCATTTCTTATCTCTTTTAATGCCAATTCCAAACTTCTAGTTGGTCAGGTCAAAAAATTTTGTACTTACCCACTAGGCATTTTATTAGTTATAAATGTAGCTAAAATTCTCAACCTCCAAATCCTCAATTAGTCTTTTATTCTGATGATTTATCATGTGGTCATTAGTGCCCCTTTTGAACCTCTGGCCTAAAGTTTGATAAGACTGAAATCCTTGGTCCCTTTATCCTAATCTAGGCCCACATCCTTATCTTGACCATTAAATTGATTAGCACACTACCGGTATTGCTGCTTTAAAAGGCCAGAATGACAAGACACATAGCCCTCAAGGAAAGACATCTTGAGAATGACACTGCTCATTGTTTAATCTTGCTGTTATTACAATCAATGTTATACATGTTGCTCCCAAATGTATTTGCTGGCCAATCTCCTGGAAAAGTAGAGGGTAATCTTGACCCACAAGCTGTGATTCTCCAACTGTTCAGGCAATGCTTTTGACTATACCATATAATGGGCATGTGTCTGATGGTAAAAGCCACAGATGACAAGGATCTGGAAATCCCCAAGTCATCTAAGAACTAACAAACACTGTTGATGCAGATTACTAAGAAAAGAAAGCAGAAACAATCACTCAGGCAAACACCCTGGTTTTATTAATATAGGGCTTTGACCTCAATTCACCTGTATGTTTTTGTACTGTGACAAGATGAGTGAACTATACAAGCATTCTGAAGGCTCATTTTGAACCTATGTTCTAAGGCTTAAACTAAAGGGAGACTGAATGACTCAATTGGCCCTTTTCTCTTATGTCCACATTGTAATCTTAACCTTCAAAGTCCCACCACTCAGATGACAAAAACAAAACAAAATAAACAAACGCTAAACTAAAAAGGAAACCCAAGGAAAAGAACACTACTTTTTATAATGCCAGAGATTAGTTGGGTAACAATTTTACTCTGTGAAAGGGTCCCTTTCCTATGGGAGTGAAGACCTCTTAAGTAGGAGAAGTCTCTACACCTATATTAATACATAAGCTATATTAAAGGAAAGAGAGGAAAAGTAGTGAGGAGTAATACTAAAGGCAGGTTGAGAAATTTTTTTTAAAGGTTAAGAAAATAAGTCACATGAAAGAAAAAGGCTCTGTAATCACTTTGTTTCTCTCACCTAAAACTCCATTTCACCAGCCTCTTGGCACAGTTGTATCCTTGAACTCCTTTTTGTCCTTGACTTTTGTCAGCACACTTCGTTCTTTTTCAAGCTCCTGTACCACATCCACTGGAATGATTCTGTGAGTGTGTGTGTGTGTGTGTGTGAGAGAGAGAGAGAGAGAGAGAGAGAGAGAAAGAGAGAGAGAGAGAGAGAGAGAGAAAGATATGG